TCCTTAAAAGAAAACCGATAAAAAGTAACACGTTACTTTTGCGTAGCTTTTTATTTATAAAGTAGCGGTAACGGCGTTTTTTTTTTTTTTTTCTGGCAAAAATGTTTTTTGACATTAGAACAAAGGGCGTAGGCGTTGGGGTTCTTCTAAAGTGGGGCTTTTTGGCGTGGGGACAAGGCGGGCAAAATTTTGATGGTACCTGGAATGTGTGCAATAATGAATGACTCGGCGCTAATACTTTGTTCCAGCTTAAAGGTGCTGTGCAACGATATTCAGTTGGAATCTCTTTCACTTTACTCGAGCTTATTGGCACTAGTGGGACTCAAGGATACTCACACGCAACGCCATTCGCCAAGAAACTCCTTTGTTGCGGTGTAATTTCAAGGACAAAAACGATCATTTTCATTCAATCTCTCCTTTGCAAAATTTGATGACGTAACTCGGGGATCGCAGTACACCCAAGTGACGATATTTGAATGCGGTTCATAGATTGGACCCGAGCATTGCGTGGGCACTCGACTTGGGCTCGTGATAATTGCTAGCTCGAGAAGCATTCCCGTTGTGACCCGTGTCCAATCGCTGCAACGACGACAACAGCCGAGCCCTAACAATGTCTGGAACTCAGCGCGTGTCCTGCGCTTTGCCAACCCCAGCGCGTGGCTATGATCAACACTGGCGGCATATAATCGGCTCCAGATCACGTGGCCGCTTGTTCTGGCTGCGAGTTGAGGGGGTGAACGCTGCTCGTTTTTCTTAATTTTTTTCTGGGACTTCTATTGCGTGGGGTGAAAAACGAACGCGTGTTTCGTAGGTCATTAACTTTAGGGATCCGTTTTAAGCGGTATTTGTGCACAGTACAAAAATTGTTGCACAGCTCCTTTAAGTCCAGACGCGGCCGACACTACCAGCTAATGGCACCGATCAAGGGCGGCGTCAAAACCGCAAGTCACTGGCCCTTTTTTTTTTGTTTATGACGACTTCAGTAATGATGGAACACGTACATAAACATGATGAGCGTCATGATGTCTCCATTTTAACGCTGTCTGATCGTTACCATCAGCTCGTAGCATCGGCTGCGCCTGGACTTAACGTCACTATGTTACCCGTTAATTGAAAGAAGTAACGTAAGTACGTTACTGTTTGGAAAAAGTAACGAGTACGTTACTACGTTACCGGAAAAAGTAACGCGTTAGCGGTAACGCTGCTATTTGTGACTCGCTACCACCTACACTGACTGGCGCCTATCAAAATGGATGTCATCTGGGTGATCGTCGTATAACAGGAGTACGACGCTGGGTCTGCGACGCTTGAGTACTTTAAGTTTTGCTATATACGAGCAGGGTTAGACTCTTACTTTATTTTTTCACGTCAGGAAGGTGTAGGCAGGCACCTTTATTGGGAAGCCGATCATTCAGAGGCTAGTGAGCGCGTTTCTCACCGCGGTACCACCATCGCCGAAAGTTGCGACGTTTCAGTGTAAAGTCAATTAGCAAAGCAAATTGTTGTGTGTATGTTTATACAGCCGGAAGTTAGTCTGCCTGAGTGGGCGTCTGGTGTCTCAGCTGTAGATGAGCAGTTTAGCCAGTGCGGTACAACCGCTCACCTGGGGTCTTTAACGTGCACCACGCAGCAGTGATACACAACCGCACGCCGGTACGATGCTAATCCAGATCGAAACGGGCAGGGTTGGGGATTGAGCCCAGGATCGATGGTTTCTTTTTGCGCGAGCTTTCGCTCCACGTGCTCCGAGCTGGTGTGCTCTAGCCTCGCTAGCCCACTCGGCCACCGATACTCCAAAGTCAAACAGAGAGATATCGAAATTGGCGGTATAGCTTCGCGTTACCCATACCTACCTACAGCTGTATCACGGTGTAAGATACACTCTTTAAGGGGTATTCACACGAGGGAGAAATCCCGGGGATTTCTCCCCGGCACGCGCGCATCACGAGATGAAAACGCGAGGCTTTTGCACATCGCAAAGCTTGACGTTTTCGTCGTGGGATGCGCGTGCCGGGGAGAAATCCCCGGGATTTCTCCCTCGTGTGAATACCCCTTTAAGTGAGGACACGGCGGGGCTGAACGCGCGGCGCGAGGAATCAAGCGTATTTCACATGCAGCGATTATGGCCCTAGAGCGGCGCGATTTCTGCCGTCGCGGCGCTCGTGCCGCTCAACCGCTGGTGCTGGCCAGAGCGCCGCGACGGCAGAAATCGCGCCGCTCGAGGGCCAAAACCGCTGCATGTGGAACACGCTTCAGATAGTGTTCGTTCGACGGGCATCCGAAAGGCTGCATTATTCCGCGGCCACCGTGCCCGCGGCTGACAGTGTCGCCGGCGGCCAAACGGCGAAACTGTGTGAAAGCGAAACAAAACTATCTTCTTGCCACGACACCCCGGTACACCGTGGTCTTTCTGCACGAGCGACAACCTCGCTGGAGCTCTGCGCGTGTGGAGCATGAGGCGGCACAAGCCGTCTTGCACCGTGCCCACGGTTCGACGAGTCATCTGCCGGCGCCGCTTGAAACCATAGTGAGAGAGAAAGAGAGCGAGTGAAAAGCGAACTTTATCTACACTGCGCGAGGAGCGCGCTGTCCTCACCTGAAGAGTATTATCTTACACTGTGAGCTGTATTAAGAGACCCTTTTCATGGCAAACGCCATCAGGCGGTGCTCCACTCTTTGATGCCCCAGAAAACCTCAAGTTCCTAAAAAAAAAAAGAAAAGGGCAGAGCCCTTTTTAACACCGCTTCTGAAAATGTCCACGAAACGTTTAACCACCATATCTCCAGGTGAACGCCGAAAGAAAGAAAAAGCGGGAGATCTGTTAAAATGTTTCGAATAGTTTGTAAACCAACTTGCCTCCTCCAAGACGTTAAATTGTACAGCCGAATGCCCATTTCCCTAGCGGACGCCTGAAATTTTCCTCTTTCTACATATGTTTCTCTCTCTTATCTAAATAATTATATATAATCGTTGTTTTCTGAATCACCTCCGTTTTTACGATGAGCGATAATTATATAGCCTTTACGCCCCGGGTACGTTTCGCATAAACGAGTTTGTCGGGCAAAAAACCGTGGCCAAAGGAAATCTGGCGAAGTGAAGTATTCCGGGAGGTTCAAACTGACGAATGAAACCTTATCTTCGCTTTAGACAATATGCACGTCACCAGAACACAGTACTGCTTTAATAACTTCATTAGTGATTCTTATAATAGTCATTCCAAAACAAGAGGTGTAAACCAAGCGAGTTCTCGCACTTGAACACGCGGAACACGACACACAGTAAGTACCATTTCGTGCCCGACACTTCACGAAATATTATTATTTATGGTGTCTATCTCTCTCTATACATCGCAGTATTTCTTCTTATACTCAAGCTTTCTTTTTCGAGAACGCACAGCGGCGCTCTCAGAAGCTTCCACTTGAAGCCCCTCAATCCTGGAAAAAGTGGCGTCATTCATTGTTGCATGAACGCCCGAGACAGGTGCCACGCGCCACATCTGGGAAGAACATGGCGTCTGAAATCTAGCCCAGTGCTGCGCTGTGCCGCCATGATCTTCCCAAAGGGCTGCATGTTGCACGTGCCTCGTGTAATGACGCACCTTGCGCTACTTTTGAAACAGGAAGGTGCTTTATTTCGACTTGGCTGGTTCTCTCCTCCATAGTTTTCACGGGGACGATAAAAAGCTGAAAACTAATTCTGCAAATAAAAATAATAATAAAAAAGTTGTGCGAGTGCATTTCAGTGTTGCTAGATGGTCGCAGAAGAAACCATCAAACGGCTGGGAGGAAATAACACAAATGAAGCCCAAACCGCTAACATTCGATGTTACCTCGAAAAAAAAAGATCATAATTGACTTAGAAATTTTCAGATAAAAACTCATACCGAGCATGCACTGTGAGCAGTCACCTCAAGTATGGCGTCCAGTGAATACCAGGGGGGCTATGTTGCACGTTTTGGACTCCCAGGAGACTAGGAAGAAGGAAGTGACGTCAACAACGCTCTTTGGGTGTTGATTGATGGAGTCGCTGATGACGCGTTGCTGCTAAGATACGTTCATTCACACTATACGTCACTTCCTTCTCCCTAGTCTCCTGGGAGTCCAAAACATGCAACATAGCCCCCCAGGACACAGTTAGCGCGAACACGCGATCTCCTATGGGCTGCAAAGTTCGCCGTCCACCTTGTTTGTAGGTTCTGGTTTCGATTCGAGCATGTATTAGAAAATAGCGCAAAAATTTCGACATTTTGGTTGACTCGTTCTTTATACTACTCCGGTGTGGAAAAGGCAGCGTCACTCACATTTCGAAATAGAGGTTTACGGCAGGATTGTTTCTCGACTCCAGACTGCCCCCTGTGCTTGGGTTCGACGTTCCCGGGCAGAGACAGGTTGTTGGCGCTACACGCAGACGCGCAGGTCGGCTGACCGAGGACCGATGTAGTATAGTACCAAGAGAACGCGAGGGCCACGCAGGCTTCTTTTTCCTTCACCTTCGTCCAGCTCGCTGGATTGCTCGAGCTCGGGTCATCTACTAAAATCCTCCTTGTTTTCTTTATCGCAAATCCAATATCTATGCCGTAACCACTGTAAAAAAATGTCGGAACGAATGCAAACCCGTGCTGAGACAACGTGTCAAATCTCGTGATTTCGCGTGTGTCTGACAGTGGGAACCTATAAAGCCACGGTCTGACTGCTCTTACATCGTACAGCAGAGACTCTGCAGACAGTAGAGAGTTTTAGGGAACCGTTTTTGAACATCCTATGCGGCACGACGGGCCCTCCGGTACAAACTGCGCATGCGCTATCGCAGAAAACTCGCACTTGCGCAGTTTGTACCGCGGTGCCCATCGTGCACCGTATCGAATGTGCAAGAACGGTTCCCTAAAACGCTCTACTGCCCGAGGCGTGTTTCTTGCTTCTAGGACGAGCCCATCACATCGGCCACACAGAAGCTGTCCGCATACATGTTCATAGCATGAATAAATGTATAAAGAAAGCGTGTTTCAAACATGCTTGGGGCACGTGCGCAGGTACGGGGACGCGGACGAAGCGACCAGTCAATTTATTTCGGGGATCGACAAGAGGGTCTTCCTCGGTGTAGAGTTGAGCTTCGGGGCGTTCACGGAGTCGCTCCCGCTATTCTCCTGATCCAGTTCAACTGGGTCGACGTCCTGGCGAAGACGGATGGCTCCCGCGGCGCCCCGCACGTGTCGCCCCAGGACGTGCTGCCGGCGAGGACGTAGCGACCGTCACGTCGGGGGCACTGTAGCGGTCCCCCGGAATCGCCCTGAAAGAGCACGCCGTTAGTCTTGTTTCGGGGGACCATGCACAGTCGCGGACAACATAAGCTGAACCAAGGTAAAACGAAAAAAAGCACGTTTTTTTTTAGTAAAATTAAATAAATCAAATTGATTCGATTGGTATCAGGTTTATTTGATTTAATCAGACTTTTTTTATTTTAATGGGAGTAATTTTATTCAAAAACCTGTAGCTATAAAATAGTTTTTTTTTTCAGCGCCAGATGTGTTTTAGACCGGGGAGATTGAGTTGATCAACCCGTCCGATAACAGAAAACAATTCGTAATAAATATAACTGGGAATTCAAAGTACAGTTTAATTAACGACGGTTGAACTGTTTATTGGGTAAACCCCGCCATAGTAGTAAAAAAAAAGCTCGATTCTTGTTTTTTTTTTTTTTTTTTTGCAGAGTGAAAAAGTTTCATTAATATTTTTCTTTCGCGTTCTGATTTGTTTTGTCATAGGTCATTACTTTTTTAGATCTCGTTTATTTTGCGCTCTGATTTCCCTGCAATAGGACGTTACGAAACTTGCGAACGAAGTGAAACGTAGAAAGCAAGCTCAATGTTCCGATTTGCCCAGAAGACCACTGCATGGTGTGCTCGTGTTCTACCTTACATATATCTTTATTGTTTGACGATTATTTTATTTACATACAACACAACTGCACATAAAAAATCGTCAAGTTGTAGTCAACACGTAAATAAATAAAAAACAAATATATATTTTTGGGGTTATGTTTTCGTGGGAAATGTTTCCGCACTCGTTTCCAATATACGAGCTGGACCGAGTTCACGCTGGACGCTGAAGAAGCCCTCGTGTTCAGCACCTGCTGCCAGTGCGCGCCGAAGCAGCTCCTATACTTCGTTTCAGCTTCAGTCCAGACGCAGCCAACGCTACAAGTGCGAGCTGCGGGCTTTCAGCGTCCCTGCCAAGCACGCGCGAGCTCGTGCAGTGCAGGCACTGTTTAGGGCCACATGCTCGTGCTTGTACCATCGGCTACGTCTGGACTTAGGCTGAAACGAAGCATAGATGGCACACATTTGAATCAGGTTCCCTGGCATGCGAATTTTTTTTCTTTTTATTTCTTTCGAAATGAGCCAAAATCATTGAAGCGAAACTGGGATAAACAGGAATGTGTGCTTATCGGACTAGCTTAGAGTCCTGTACTGCGGCCACCTTTACATTTTTTTTTTGTCTCGCATATGACCGATTTCAGATTAATAAGGCGTATTCACTGGACGCCATACTCGCGGGTGTTGTTTAGAGCGCATGCTCAGAACAAGCTCACAAAAATAGGTGGCCGAGGCGAGCAATCTTGATGGCGTGGAAAGCCCGTTAACGAGGTGCGGACGGTCGCCGCCAGCACGCGCTCAGCAGGCGCGCGCACACAGCTATGGCCGCCAGTGAATACTCCCTATTCGCCTATTCGCTCTTCGTCGAGTGAGTTGAAACGTGGTGGCGCTAGTGTGCAAATAGCTTCTAACCACTTCCGGTTCGGAACTATAGACGGCGTGTTTCGCAGTATCTGCGAAATAAAATATGCAGGCTATATTCTGTAAATGGCCACTTAAAGTGCTATCAGGCTTCAATCACCCTTACGATAAAAGAATGACCAGTAAAAAAAATTAGGAAATATACATGAACCGCAAGTGTGCAGGGGCTACCCAATAGACGACGCCACTGAGTTTGTGGCGAAACAAAAAGAGGGCGCATACCTTTTGGCAACGATGGATTCCCGGATATAGTCCGCCTTTCAGGCGAAATTATGTTAGGTATACTTTCTAAATTTGGCTCATTTCGAAAAAAAAAAAAAAAGAAGTTTTTTTATACGTTTGTAGTCCACTTCAATAATGACATTCTGGGCACTGCCAAGGTACCAAGGTACGCTATCTTAGCTTTGTCATCCTCTTTGTCATCTTTCATGGTTGCAAGTGCCCCTGTTCTTTTTTTTTTTTCTAGAGCGCAGTTTTTAGGCGGCAGTTTCCGGGTTCAGTGGCGTCGCCGTCGCCGTCGCCATCGGCGCAACCACTCGTTGCATTATGGGACGTTCCCCATAATAACGCCACACGTGACGTCACATGTTAGGTCAGGGGGGTAAAATTTTTCCACTAAATTTAACGAGAACATGTTTTCGCTAAATTTAGCGGGGAAATTGACGTCACGTGGACCTCAACACCAAATCAGTTTCCCCACTAAATTTAGCGGGAAAATGTTGGTAATTTTCCTGCTAAATGGGAGGGGAGCAGGAGAGGAAGAGGAGGAGAGGGGGCATTTCCTCCCCTCCGTACCCTCCCCTCCTCCTCAAGTGCTGCGCTCTAATTCGCCATTACAGGGAATTGAAAACCGTCTTTCATATTTTTCTTTTTCTAAATGATACGTAATTGTGTTGTGTGTATGCTTACACAGCCGGAAGTGAGTCAGCCTCGACGGGCGTCTGGTATCTCGGCTATACACAAAACAAATACAGCCAGTGCAGCACAACCGCCAACCTGGGGTCCGTTTAGCGTGCAGGACCAATACCACCTAGAAGACAAGGCCTGCGCATGACGTTTCGTCAGTAGATCCCCGACCCGCCCCAAGTGGCAAACACCCCGAAGCTTGACGAGAGTAGGGGCCGCGTCGCAACTACGTCGCATTCATTTGCGGCCGCAGCTGTGTGCGTGCCTGCTGAGCGCGAGCTGATAGCGAGCTTCCAAGTGCATTTGCGACGTGCACGCGAACGCTCCCTCGGCCAGGAGCGCGAGCTAGCACGCGCTCGTGGCTTTGAGACGCGCATTTCTAGCGCGCGCGCTCGTTCTGCGGTAGAACGCTTCGAAGCAGCTACCCGAGGTATAAACAGCGCCCTCGAAAATGGCGTCCAGTGTGAGCGTCCAGCGTCCAACGAAGGGCTTTTCAGTCCTTCGCGCAGCAGTAAGGCAATTTCGCTCATGCATTTGACGCTCCACGTGAACGTCTAACTTCATCGTATGATATTTGCAAGAGACACTCGGCGTGAGCATCTGTTTCATTATCTGTTACACAAACCACTGAAGCAGGCGATGGAGCAGACGATGTAGCAGACGATGTCGCTCATCCGGGCTAGCTAGGGGGCGCTGAGGGGATCTACTAGTGATGACGTTTAGAGGAGGAAACGCGCAGGCCTTGTGTTCTAGGTGGTATTGGCAGGACGCAGTAGTGATACACGACCACTGAATCCAGGATCCGCGAGTTCTGCAGCGCGAGCTTTCGCTCCCCGCGCTCCGAGCTGTGGGAAGTGAACACACACGGCCACCGATCCCTCCTCAAATGATACAGCTGATATTTAGTAAGCGAGTTAAAAAAAGAAAGAAAAATAAAAACGTAATGGAGTGCACGCGTCGTGGGCCTACCTCGCACGTGGACATGCCTCCTCGCATGGGACCAGCACAGATCATGGTGTTCTCCCGAACCCGTCTCTCATGCCTGTAGTACTTCTTGCAGACCGCGTGGCGGACAATGGGCAGGTCGACCTTCTGGAGGATGGCCGACAGCGAGGATCCCGGTACCGACGCTGCGCGTTCGAGAAGCCGGCACACATAAGAACCGACATCCATGTCTAAGAGGCGAACTAAGAAAAGAAATATTTGACAGTACTTTCTTTTTTAAACTACTATATTCCTATTTGAGTTTGCAAAATTTGCGAGGCGGGTGCTGATATCACATGGCGCAGTTCAGAAACCCGAAAGTCACGTTTATCACTTGGGATTGGAGTTTTCGGATTTTATTTTTGGTTAAAATCGTAGTTATGTATTGTAATTTATATTTGTTTAATATAAACGTGGAATTAATTAGTACTTAATATAAAGGTGGTATTCTTAAAGGGACACTGACACCCCCCAATATTTATTTTTAATTTTTTGCCAGGCGCTTCATTATGGTGTCGGAGGACTACCCAATTAATATTTTGCAACAGAGTACCGTATTTTTTTAATAAAGCCAAAAGACGCAACTGCTCGAAACCGAAACCGAAACCTGACGGAGGTCGGAGAAGTGGAGAGAAGAGAGTGGAGTGGCGGAAGTCACGTGGCTGCACCCGACCGTGTGTTTTTTTTTTCTTTTTTTTTTCTCCTTCCCGGTAGCAGACGACATGCGGCGTATGGGAACTGCTCGCCGTGGGATTCTTTTGCAGTTATGTTTGTTCCGCTCGTTGTTCTGTACTCCAAGATGAGTTGTTTTGTACATTGAGGAGTTGGAGATGAGTAGTGAGTGCCCGTGGTGAATTTTGATCGGCTCCGAAAAGAATACACCCAAGATGTTGCGTGAAGAGCTGGCTCACATGTCCCGCGTCCGAAACAGAAGTGGCATTGTGCGACAGAGTTTCCGAAAGATCAACGGGATCGGGACCAATGGCTGGCTGCAATTCCTGTAGACCATTTACGGGCGCCTCGGGAAGCGGACGGTACCTGATTTATATGCTCCTTGCATTTTGTGGAAAGTGATTACGTTGAGTTCGCAGGTGTCAAAAAGGAAATCCCATACCATTTAATTCAGCGACGTGTCGTCCACAAAATTTGTTTCTTATTTTTTGTTTTTGTTTCTTCAGTAATAATTGTAAAAAAAAAAAAGAAATGTAGACATCAAAAGTATTTAGAGAAAAAAAAAAAAAAGAGGGTTTCACGGGGGATGGAACCAGGCTCTACCGCGTGTGAAGGGGACGTCTTTCCCACTGAGCTACTGGGGCATATCGAAATGGGGTATCTCTTTCCTTAGTAATAATTTAGCCGATAAACTGTAAGTTGAAAAGTTTGCTGCCGATTTTCCTCTAGCAAAAGCACTCCCGGGTCGAAGTCGGGATGCACCACGCATTGGCGACATTCTCACCTAGTAAAGAAATCGTACGCGTGCATATTCCACTCGAAGTAGACACGTCGCGCTTGACGTTTGCGCGAGCGATGTCTTCAGCCACGAGAAGGGAGCGACGGCTCGGCGACGTCTTCGTGCAAATCGGCTTGGTGGTCGGGCGTGTCGTACGGGATGAATACCAATTCTTTTGACCAGTCCCAAATTTCTCTTTTAAAGGCAGACAAAATTCGCCGGTACCGCGAACGACAGTTCTGAAATAGAGGTCCCACGCCCGTCGTCCGCTGCCATCGCCGTCCCTGCGAGTCCCACGATACGCGAAACGACGCACGCACAGAATGCTTCCGGTTGTCTGTGGAACTTTTTTTTCAATCAACGTATTTGCAGCTTTTTAGAAGCCACAAAAATGGGTTTTATATTTTTTTATATTTTTAATATTGAGTGTGTGCCTTCAGTGACCTACGACTTTGATTAAATTTGGTGGTCGCATCGATACCTTAGAAAACGGCCCGTGACCGCGGAAAAGAGAGTGAGCGAGACTCGAACCGGCCAGTTCTTGATCGGCAGTTTTCGGGCGGAAAGAAACCGAATTTCGAGCCGCAAATTCTGTTCTGGGTAGTTGAGCTCTCATATGTCACGTACAACTAAAAACCTCGGCGAGCATAAATACCCTGTCAGTGTCCCTTTAAACTTTACAAATTTGTCTGGAAAAAAATATGTGAGAGCTACACTAATACGAATATTGGGGGTGAGTCACATCTCCAGATTGACATAACAGGGGGGGGACAATCGTCGCGGTAAGTCGGCTAATTAATTAAATTGTGTTAGTTCACTTTTTAGTTGGTGAAAATAAATGGAATGAACGTATGGTTCCGATTAGAAATTTGCCGAGCATCGTCATAAACCACTAAATGGGTAAAATTCAGAAAGTCATTCAGAAAGTCATTCATAAAATTCAGAAAGTGCAAGGCTGGCGGTGTAAAAAAAAAAAACGCGAATCATAAGAGAAAGGAAAAACCGTGCGGGCGCGCTATCGCACCAGTAGCCTTGTGCCCGTTGCCCGAGCGGGAACTTCGGCGCAGCGCAGCTGCTTCCCACACGCTCCAAATCTTTCTAAAATTTACCGACTTGGGAATTTTTCATGACGCCCAGGAAGTTTTTAATTGGAAGCATACGCTTTACTTCTCTGATTAGAAGGTGAATTAACACATCTGAGGAAATTAGTCGACTTTTCATAATGATTCGCCCCTACGTCGTGTCTCCCCGCACGTCAAACTTACTTGCACAGACCGCATAAGTGGCTTTCGCAACTTTCTTTTTTTATAACAAATTTGTAATGCATGTAAAACTTCCCTGCGCAGGGCCGCGTTGTCTTTTGAGATATTTCCGGCATTAACGCTGGGTTCATTTTAATACTTCTTCGAATAATAATTGGAAAAAAATGATGATGTCGATGACAATGATATGAAGAAGAAGGTTAAGAGGAAGAAGTTTATTTTTCATCATTGATGGTGGGGACCGAGGGAAAAGGCTGCTATAAGCTGCTATATCAGTGGAAACTTGACGAGCCCTCGGCACCGGCATATTGGCAGACAGAGGAGGCAAGACTCGTGAGCGAAAGGTTGCTGAAAGCGTCACAAATACACACAAGGGGGAACGCGCAGGTACATAACCTACACTTAATAAGACACGCCAAGATGCGAGGACACCTTCGAAAAAAGAAAATACGGGAGTTACTGGAATCCGAAACAAACATAAAAAAATATTCAAACAGTAGCAACCAAAAAAAGCAAACATGAGCGTAAAAAAAAAAATAAAAAAAAATCATGAAGACGAGAGCTAGTGAAGTCGTCATATACAATCAAATTCAAGAGCGAAACGTGCATATAACAATAAAACATGTCGAATTTCAACGCAGACATCGATAGTATTTACGAGTCAGTTGGGGGAAAATACTAATAAGAAACAAAGTAGATATAAGGTGAAAAAAATGAAAATAAAGCGACAATAGAGCAATAAAATTTAAAAAGGAACAGAAAACGACAATAAGATAAGTACGAGTCTAAGGCATAAAAGCCGATGGCCAGAAAATGGTAACCGAATAGAGATATTTTGCCTGTCGTGACGTCACTTTTCCGCTGGAAGTATAGACGCGCGTCCGGCAAAAGTTTCATCGAAAAGCTCTCCGTCGTTACAGTTGACGTTTTAAATCAAGGTTATAGTCTACACATGTTAACATTATCGCCAGCCTCGTCGTTTCCGGTTCATAAGAGCAAGCTTGTCAACTCGTGTTTGCAGTTTGAAGGCATTACAGCTGATAGCCGGTGTAAGTCGTCAAACACGGAGAATATGTGTAGCCGCGGCACCTGCGCAAACTCGTCAGTTACGTGACGAAGTGGGTCCCGCTGTACGTATACCAAACAGGAACAATCTTCAAAAAAAAAGAACAAAAAAAAAAAAAAAAGACAACAACAAGAACAACAAAAACTTCGAGGCATCTGCTTGTTTTCCAAAGCGAAACAGTGAACGGAGTGAATCACTTCTACACCAGTTTCTTTTTTGTACACCTGCCGCTTTTAAACCGAAAAAGTATGGCATATTTCGGTTTAAACCGAATTTATAATCTAGTATCCGGCAGCTATAGTTTTGAGGAGGTTTTATGAAGTATACCGAGGTGCCTGAAGCTTTCGGGGTGTATACCGAGGAATCTGAACCCCATTCATAACTCGTAAGAATTAATGGTTCTTGTAACATATATATTGCTACATATAGTATTCAACGAAAGTGTCCTGGTATCAATACTATATCGTCACGCATCTTGCTTCGTGATTTGTCTTTCAACCTTGTTAATAGACCTCCAGTATACATGCTAAGAGTTCGTGCCGAAACAATGGCGGACTCTGATAGTTGGCGCAGCTGCTACTAGATGGCGCACCTTTCTTTAAGCGGGTTTATTGACCGCGGAGCGATGACAAAGTGTCCGAGACTCGCCATGCGCTGTTTTTATGTTTTTCTTTACGTTCTCAGCTTCTATTGTGGTGAACTTGAGCTTAGCAAAAAGAACTAAGACTCTGTTGAAAGCGATTATTTCGGGCAGGACTGCGTCAACTAGATTTACCATAGTTTTGTTTTGAGTAACGAATTATTATTACAGCGGGGCTGTTAAGGGCTAGTTTCCCCAGGATTGTGTCCCCCGCAAAAGAAATGAAGACACCGAACTCTGGACACCTACCGCCATCTATGAGCGACGGCGGTAAGCTACGCATCTGGTTGCCGCCGTCACTCATAGATGGCGGCAGCCTTTCCACTCTGGCTTGCCGACTTGCGGCCGGCCATTACTTTCCATTGTACAGCTCCACTGTTCTTCCTTCTTCACCAGAGTGGAAAGGCTGATAGTTTTTGTTGCGCTGAAAACTTCGTCTCGCGACTTCGAAATTTGCGCCATGAAAGCCGCCCATTATGTACATCTGTTCGTTTAAAAGTTCGTTTGAATGTTTCGTGGCACGTGGCAGGACGCTAAATCTACACGGCGCTGTAGTGATCGACAGATTTGAATTCACGTTCTTACGCTTAATCGGGAAATCGAACTGAAGCTGTCAAGGATATCTCTCCTGGACTTTGAGATGAGCAAGTACCGCGTCAGCGCTGATTACGACGCCCAGAACGCGGGTCCGACTGGAGCGTTGAATTTTTGCTAAAAGGTGGTCCCTCGCGATTTACGTCTGATTACCCCAGAGAAATGTCAGGTTGTCGCCGACCGCAGCCCTGTTGGCGTCAGAGTAGCTACTGCGAGAGACGCTGCAAGGTATCTCTCCAGCTTAACAGTTCACGGAAAAGCTTTGTCAGCAAGGAGCTTGGAGTCTTGGGACGCCGCGACGACTACGACACTCGCGTTCTCTCGTGCGTGTTTAAAAACAAATATATTTTTAGGGTTTTTACGTTTAATTGCCAAGTTAACGACATCCGACATCATGATACTCCGGTTTATGTCACGTCATTTGTTGCAATTTCGGGAGCACGTTCGATCGATGGGCAGCAGAAGACGCTAACCACACCAGTTAGAGATGCGCGTCCCATGGGACACCACCTATAGGAGACAAGGCCCGGGCCTTTCCCTCCCAAAACGTCCTTACTCGTGGATGCACGCAGCGGCGGCGACTACAGCTTGCGTCCGCATCGCCGCCAATCCGTCTTACAGCATCTCACAAAGAGCGCGACGCTCGCACGCGCGCGCCGACGCCAAGACGCACACACATTTGCCGCATTACGGAGACTCTGTTACACGGGCGTCAGCGTGTTTCCCGCTTTGGGACGGGTAGGGGAATCCACCAACGAGGATGTCACGTACTAACCTCTTCGTCTAGGAGTGGTATTGGTTTCGGGCACCGTAGAGCTTATTCAGACTTCCGGTATTCACTATATGTCAGCACAACTCGCCGCACAGCGCGCACCCTTAGTACTTTCGAGCCCGCTGCCAACCTGGCGCGCGCGGTGATAAACGTATACATATACGTGAGCAACCGCCACCATATACTCGCACGTTTGTCTTCTTGCGTAAATGGAAGAAAGTCAGGGCCGCTATAAAGTCTACGGGAATGTTTCGTTAACGCGTGTTATGAACCGTGGCGTCTTGTCTCAATGAGGCACGAACGTGTCTGACGCCATGGACGGAAGAACCTCAGTGGAAGTGTATATACTGGATTAAGCCTCACAGCGGCAGCCGACGTTTTATACGCGACTTAGCTTAACATCATAGAGCCGGGGTCACGCTACTAATGCATCCTGCAAAGGACAAACACAAATCTCCAAACACAGCAAGGTCGCGCACCAGTTGGAGATTTGTGTTTGTCCTTTGTTGCCCTTGTTCCCCTTGTACAGGGATTATTTTCGTCATTATTGTCCAGCTCGCTTGCACTTTTGCCTTTTCATTGCATTATCATCATGCTTATGTTACAAAATTTGGGGCGGTCGTATGCCAAGATTGTTACATTTTGTAGAATTCCCGTAACCAGCCAGTGGTCCGCGATATTCGTCCCCGAATTCTGCACTTTTGCCGGATTGAGTGGAAAAGAAGTCGAATAAAGTAGAAAACTCGAGGGCAGATATTTCTGAACACGGGCTGGTTTCGCGAATTCTACGAAGTGGAACGGTCTTGGCTTACTACCGTCTCAAAGTTTGTAATATAAACATATATCTAAATTACAGTAATTAAAAAGGTTAATGAACGAATTTTAACTAACCTGATAATAGCGATGGTTATATTACCATCTATTGTCTGCTGAACCATATAAACATGCAGTGAAAACCGCATTCATATAACTTTTCCCCCCTTTATTTAAAAATTTGGTGCAGTCAAACAAAAGAAAACACCCTGCATATTTTTTTCTATAGGTGACAGTGTTTGGTATGGACTTTTGCTTTGGTAACGGTTTTTGTTCCAACTTTTTCTCTCCCTAATGCTGCTAGGTATGAAATTTTTGAATGACTAATAATGCTTGTTATGAACGTTTGCTTTGGCTAACTGTGTTTGTTATAGACTTTAGCTAAGTAAGGAACATTGTTATGAACTTTTGCTATGGCTAGCAATGTCTGTTCTGGACATCTGCTGCAGCTAATGGTGTTGTTATGAACTTTTGCTAGACTAACAACCTCTGTCAGAAACTTTTGCTGTTGCCACGGGTATATGCTATGGCCTTTAAGTTGTGGCCAATACTGCATTCCGTTGGAAGGAGCGGGGGCAATATGGTGACTGTGGAATTGCTCACTGTCTTGTGTATAGCCCCATCCGCTGGCGGTGCAGGTCTGACCGTCGAACTTCTGGTTCCTTTTGGGTAGGCAGATGGGCATCAGGGCCTTTTCCGTGCCCGTGAAGTTCAGCGGCGTCTCCAGCTCAAGGAGAGCGTAGTCATAGTCTAGAGTCGTCTCGTTGTAGCGAGGATGGATGAAGATCTGCAGTGGTGGAAATCAAAAATCGCAAATCGTGTTGAGAATTCGAAGACACGTGTAAGTATTTTGTGTCGTTGTCTTCGTGTCTCGGTCCGTGTTTTTTCGGCACTTTATTTTACCCTTTGCACGTGTAAGTGAAAGATAGCTTCATCCCTTCGGGAGTTATAATGGAATCATAACTTTAGCTGAGCTGAGCCAACATTGCCTAGAATAATCAAACCCTAAGCACTAGAATTTCAGCGTCATCAGGGTGCCAAGTTTAGCGCAGACAGAGATTGAATAAGAGTGCTGCGGCGTCAGTATTTGGCTGGGTCTCTTGTTCAATCAGTACGCCAAGAGAGGGTTCGGGTCCAATTGCTGAGTTGGTGCTATCCTATAGCCAGCCGGCAACAGCCAGGCAGCGCCAGCAGAGTGAGAGCCCACGGTTATACGCCGTAGGCCGTATACTTTCCGGTTTTAGCCGAAAAACACCGATAAACAACCGCCGGTGTCGAAAATAAAAAATAGGTTAAAACCGAAAAATGCTGGATTTCAAACATTTTTGTACTAGCGGCAGTGCTTTTTTTTTTGTGTATTTTACCGAGCAAGTTTTATGTAGACGTTCGTCAAACACGTTTTTTTCTTGTTTTTTTTGTTTTTTAACGGTCGTTTTGGGGTGATTGTCAGCACATAGGCCTCTTAGTAATCGAGGTCTTTTTTTTTTTTTTTTTCTCTACAGTGCTGGGTTTTTTTACCTTTTGTTTATGTCCTCAAACGTTTTGCCTCATTATGCCCTTTTGTTGATTAAGCTGATTGTTGATTAAGCTGAAACGAAGTATACGTCACAATAATGAAGTATGAGTAACATTTTGTATCAGATGTAAATAAAATTTTACATTTTTGTCTTGATGATTGTTTGTTTCTATTCACGAATGTTTCGTCGATAAAGGCCGTTTTAAGCGTCTGCACGAGACAATTCACCGAAATGCACCGGTATTTTGAGAAGAAATAAACACCGAAAAATATCCGCCGATTTTTGACATAAATGAACACCGGAAAGTATCCGGCACAAGTACGTATACCCCGTCTCTTTGTAACTTAGCAAAGGGTGAGCGATAAGCCCCACATAGCGTGTCGACAACTTCGAACTGCTCAACGAGGTAGAGAGATAAACTCGTATCCCGTTCACCAGGCAAAAGTGACCCCCACTTGGCTGCCGCCATGCAGAATTTTGACTAGATACGTGACTGTACAAGATCCTGAGACTTTTACGCAAAACTGAGCCAAAATTTGTACTGCAATCGCTGTAAAAAAAGAAAAAAATGAGAACCTGTCTTTTTAGTACTGTCAGCCCAAGAGTTCAGTGTCTAGCTCCGATAAAATCCCAAAATACAGTATCGCCGCTGACGGCATCTAGCGGAGGCATTGCGAAACTGCCAGAATTTTTTCGTAGACGCAGATTTCGGACGTAACAAAAACGAAACATGACTTAACTCGTCGGTACTGTTATTGACGATCAATAAGCAATTATTTGTGCGCGGCACTTCGTTAAAATCTAGACGTAGAACTGTAAAGTCACGTGTCTAGTGGTCAAAAATGTACAACCTGGCGGCGGCCAATTGGGGGTCACTTTCAACTACCAGTTTATCGCTCTAAGGCCCTCTACCTCGTTGGATATGCGCTACGTATACGAAGGCAACGCACATATATTGGAGCATGACGCAGCGAAAATACGGATACTTCTTCGGTGTAAAAGCGCACTACGGTGATACGTAGTCACGTTCCGATTGGCACGCCAAGGCCAATCACGGCTTCCTGGCCTACCCAGTATCTCTTGCTTCAGACGCTAGGCTAAGCGGCGCCACCAGAGTAATAGCTCACCTTTGAACAATGCAGCCGCCACTTCCATGCACACCCAATATTTCTTATTTCAGTCGCTAGATAGCACTAAACCAAACAGCGCTGCAGGTTTATTACAGCATGATGACATTACGTGCATGTAAAAAAAGCTGTTCACAGGCTTTGGTTATTCTATTGGTGGTGTTAACTAAGCTCTCAACGAAGTAACAAAAAAAAAAAAAAAGAAACGCGGAAACACATTAGGTTTTCTGAAGTTTAGAAGTATACAAGCTGCAACGGAAATTTTTATTAAAATAAATTAATACTACATTTGATAACAAAGGGTTGAAAGCACATGATGGAAGGGGCAGACTGTCAAATGACTTCATTTTCCTAGTTCACAAAATTTTTCTTTCCTACGGTTTACGAAAATAGAAGAACACCAAGACATCTTTATAGAGGCATAAAACCTATTGACGAAGTGATGTTTCTTTTGAGCAGTAATAATATGTTGGCACAAGGCTTGTAGAGCCGATAAAACATATGATATAATCTCGGAAGTTTTGACACTGTGCCCATAACCACGTGAGGCTCCTCTCAACTACCATGCTTTGATGGAAATTAAAATATAAACCTACGTTTTTGACGGGGAACCTTTTCTCGGTGGGATCTTTCACCCTCACGTTGTATTCTCCGACAATAACTGTGTAGTTATCCGGAAAGGGAAATTGGCTGAAAAAGGCAGGAACATATTGTAAATACAACATTCACTGTACGCGTTGTAATAAATGCAATGCGCGCGATCTGGAGGCACCCGCCGTCGAAATCGACACGTTAGGAGCAAAATATACATACTGCCGAGCCCGATTACAACGAAGTCAACGGGAATCGGAAATCACTTCGCTACATCCGCTTCTTCGTTATATATGAACTCATACAAATAACTTCAAATGAAAGATAACCCGGGTTGTCATGGACACATGTTTATCAAGCCCGCAAGGAAGCGGGCGAGGCTTCCCTGCACGCGTCGTCTGCTACATCGGCGCCGCTGCTCGCCAATTGCCGAGAAGCTCCGTTCGAAAAACGATCCTGCTACGTACGGACCGTGTCGACAGCTGCGACGGCCCCGCGGAGGACGCCGGCGGTGGATGGCATTTTTTACGTTTATGCGCACTCCGCGTCGAGGATGGCACGCTTTTGATTCAAGACGATTGCCTTCGTCTTCCCCGTCGAGGTGAAGACGAAGTCGAGGATCGGGTCACGTGGTTTGTGGGCCGCGTTTGCAAAACGAGCTGCAGCATTCAAGGAATCAAAAACTTAACGCGTTCGCCCTTTGCAAACGTAGTTTCCGCACCACACTGGCCACGCGACTATCAAATGCAGGCGCACTTACTGCTCCCTCTCTAAATCTAGGCCAAACGACGGACGCGCATCATGGCCGCGCGTGTTTTTTTGCGTCTCCTCTTAATTGTTCCTGATTTTCGCCACGTTTTTAAAGCTGCGGGTGGACTACTTCTCTACCCCCTCGACTCATGGAGACTCCAAGTACCCCACGACCCGTCTACAGGACGCCTCGCATTCCAGTTGGACCGGTATTTCTTCGTCTTTCTCCAGCTGGGTCGCCGTTAGGGCTACTTTGACGAGGCCTAGCCGGCGTAATCACTCTTCTTCGGCTGAACCAGTTGTATGTCGCCAAACTTCCGTAAGGGACCTTACGAGCCACGCTCGTCGCCACCATATCATCTGGTGCCTTCTGCTCGCTGGCGATGTGTCGTCTAACCCCGGCCCGCTGCGTCCAGTCTGCGCCTGCTGCACGAAACGAATGCGGGACAACCAAGCCGCGCTCTTATGCGACTCTTGCGAAGGCTGGTTTCACCGCGGCTGCGTCCACTTATCCTTGAGTGAATACCGTCGGTTGGGCTCTTCCAGCGACCAGTGGCTCTGCTTGGTTTGCTCACTGCCGCAGTTCGCTGACGACATCTTTGAAGTTTCTACACCCACCCGTCCAAAAAACCGGTATATCCTGGAGCAAGTTCGCCCGACATATCCCTGAGCCGCAAGACAACGACATTAATAAGACAGCAACATTCTGGTACAACAACTGCCGGAGTGTAAAAAAACAAGATCCCGGACCTTCAGACGCTGGCGTCCTCGCTTCCACACTGCTCCACCATTCTGCTATTCGAGACGTGGCTCGATGCGAGTGTCGCCGACACCGAGCTACTTTCTCTCGACGCCTACACGGTGTTCCGCAGGGACAGAGGTGGGAGAGGTGGCGGAGTTCTCATGGCGATCCCGTCGAGTTTCCGCGTCAATCGCCGGTGCGACCTTGAGCATAAGGACCTTGAGGCACTCTTTGTTGAGTTCTTCATTCCCCGTTAAACCATCCTCGTGTGTTGCGTTTACTGCCCGCCCTCTTCACGTGAAAAAGCCTACAGACTTCTCGACAGTTCCCTGGAGGCTGCTGCTTCAAAGCCTTACGTGAATACCCTTATCTTCGGCGACTTCAACTGCCACGTAGACTGGTGCTCCCACGAGGTTCCTGTCCCTCGTGACAACACGGACGATGTGCTCCTCGAGACCACGACTGCTGCGGGCCTGGTCCAGGTGTGTCAGCAGCCGTCGTATACGTCCCGCGAGGGTGTACCGAGTTTTCTCGACCTCGTATTCACATCCGACGCAACACGCATAGAGCTTGTGGAGACTTCCGAAGGCCTCCACGGCAGCGACCATCTGGCCGTGGAGCTACGTTATGCAGTCTCCCTGCCCCGTACTGGGCATCACGCTCTTAGGTTGTGGAGGTTCCTGCAGCTGGACTTCGGGCACATGGCTCAGCTGGCCCACCTGACGCCATGGTGCATGACCACCACCGGTTCAGACTGGTCATCGAATTACGATCTCTGGTGTGATTTCATGTTCGCAATCCAGAAGGAGTGTGTGCCCTGCTCCACACACTCATCGAAACGAAAACGTCTGCCATGGATCACGCCCGACATCATAAAGGCAGCCCGAACCAAGCGGATATTGTTTCGGAGGGCACACCGATCTCATTGCCCAGCCGCCCTACGATTGGCGAAGGAGCACCAGCGGACGCTGAAGGCTGCTATCTACGTCTCCCACCAGCAGTATGTTCGCGACATTGCAGAAAGAGCCAAGACCGATCCAAAGGTCTTCTGGACCTTCATTAGCCAACTGCGTTCTACGTCACAGCGACCGAGTTTTACCATCAGTGGTCGCGCAGCTAACTCCCCACAAGAAATAGCCAACCTCTTTGCTTACCATTTTGCTTCTATTAACAACAACAGTCCGCCTCCGAGTTCCTCGGGATTCACAGCACCAAATGTATGTCAACCGGAACTATCTGCACCACAACCCCTGCCTGTGTATGCAGATGACGTTCGACAAGAACTTTCCAGGGTGCTGTTTTCAGAGAAAACACTGCAGGAGGCACTCGCCAAAATCAAGAACTCTTGCAGTCCTGGGCCAGATGGGGTCGCTCCCATTTGGTCTAAGCTGTTCTGCTCGCATGTTCTTCCAACCACATCCAAGTTACTTCAGGGTCTACTAGACAGTGGGGTCGTCCCAGAAGCGTGGCAAGAAGCGCTGGTCACTCCACTCCGCAAGGGAAAGGGGAAGCCAGTGGACGAGCCAAGGCACTACCGTCCGGTTTCAATCACCTCAATTGTGTGCCGGACATTTGAGAGGGTTGTTAAAGCCCAACTTCTAAGCTACCTCGAAGAATCAAAATACTTCTCGGATAGTCAACACGGCTTTCGTAAGGGCCGCAGCTGTGAAACCGCCCTCTGAACCATAACACATTTAATCAGCGACAACATGGACAACCAAGGCACTTCGGACTTAATACAACTCGACCTTAGCAACGCATTCGACACCCTGAACATTCAACTCCTGCTGGAGAAGCTCGCCCATGCTGGGGTACAGGGCTCCTTATTTACCTGGGTCTCTGGCTTCCTGCGTAATCGCAGTCAACCGGTTCTGTACCACGGCACACACTCTGCACGGACACCCATCTCGTCTGGTGTTCCGCAGGGCTCGGTCCTTGGTCCGACTCTGTTCCTGCTCTATGCGAACGACATGCCACGCAGTGAGAAGTGTCTTCTGGTGCAGTACGCGGACGATACGTCAATTGTGGCGTCAGTTTCATCACAGTCTGACGCAGATCACCTCCAACTGTATCTTGCTGAGGTTGAGGACTGAACCACAGCGCAACACCTTCGTCTCAGTACCTCCAAGAGTGGTGTGATGCGCTTCACGAACAGTAAAAAACGCGACAAACACTCTTACACTGCCGGAGGTGCTCCTCTTGCTATTTCGGACCACCTGACTATATTGGGTGTCACCTTCTCGTGGAACCTGGACTTTTCCGCACATGTTGCAACTGTTGTTGCAACTGCCCGGAGGACTTTGGGTTTTGTTTCTCGAGTGACAAGGCCGAGTGGACCGGCGGCACTGCGCACACTTTATACTGCCCTGGTCCTACCCTCGTTAGAATGCTGCTGCGCAGTGTGGTCGCCTCCTCAACAACACCTCCTCGACCGCCTAGAAAGTGTACAGCGTCGTGCATCACGCATCATCTGTGCTCGGACCTCAGGCCATGCTGATATATCGTACCCCGCGAGGCTGAAGGTCCTTGGCTGGCGTCCTCTCGACCAGAGGCGAAGAATTTCGCGGGTCCGAGTGCTGTGCCATCTGCTCGACGGGTCACTTCCTGGCAACAGACTGTCCGCCCTCGTACGTGTCAGCAAAAGGACCGGGCAGCCTCAACCACTCCGTGGCAGGACTCTGCGACACAGCGAATCATTGTTGCCTGCGGCTATCAGGGACTTTTTGACCATACCATTGGCTGCCCGTAGTCCTTTGCCCAAGGAGCCTGAGGAGTCCCAGGCTCTCTGTAGAGTCTTCGCAGGACAAATGTCTTCGAGTCAGGGTTAGGCGCCGCTCGCGCACTTGCAGTGGAGTGGGACGGAGGGGGGGTGGGGCCGGGCCTTTTTGGGCCTCTTGCGACGCCTTGGGACCGGACGCACTGCTGCGGAGCTGGTCCTAGGGCGTCACGGGGGGCTTGGGGGCCGGTCTTGCCTCTCTCCGTCCTACTCGGTTGCGGGTGTGAACTGCGCTCTAATCTAAACTGGCGCAAACTTTCAGCTTTCTCACCCTGTATTTAGCTTCATTGTCATTATTTTATTTCCTTGTCGCATCTTATTTTAGTTTTGTGGACGTCATTTTGTGACTCTTATGTACACGGTGGCAGGCAAGCAGGCGCACAGGCCTAAGGGTTTTAACCTCTCTGCTTCGCCTTGCACGCTGCCGTGTACGTGCCTGATCTGTGCAAAATAAATCAAATCAAATCAAATCAAATCTCTCCGTCATCTCCGCCGGAACGTTGTCGCTAGCGCTCCGAACGCCCCTATCGGCATGCCACGACGGCCCCCAGGCGTGCGATGCGGAAAGCCGCTTCCCAGATAAGGAGGGGTGAGCAGACGACATTGCAGGGACTGCCGCCAGCGGCACTTCCTGCATCATCTGCAGCCTGTTCTGGGTGGCTCCTTGGTCGCGGCAGCAAAGTGCGTCAGTCCGAGACTTAATAAATTTTCCGAATTTTTGTCTTTTTTTTAATTATCACAAAATTTTTCTTCGCTGTATCGGCGGGAGCCGTTCCATTTCCTTCCCTAAAATCAGACACAAATGCATTGAAAATTGCAAACGGGAATGGGAAATCGTGATCGCTTCGCTGAAGCCGCCATTTCGTTATGGCCGACTTCGTTATAACCGGTCTCGACAGTATATTTATAATTAACTGATAAAATGTTGGGGCGTGGTTCGGTAAACCGAACGTTCACAAATCTACGAAGAATTAGTATTCAGAAGTTAATTTTGCGAGACTGGGTCTATCTCGGTGCATCCGAGTCAATGCGCAGTACCACCGAATCCATTTTGGCGGGTCCGAATCCCAGCCGAGCTGCCCGAAATTTGACAGGAGACTTATTACGGACAAGTATCACCGTGTAGCCGAGATTTTCCTGTTTCACGTGAAAAAAAGACTTTCCCACGGGCGTGCCAGACACCCCTCATTGGTTTCACACGCCATTTTTTACGCATTTTGCATCGAAAGAATATCAATGGAAACTCCAAGTTTTACCGCTTATTGCCTACTGACCCTAAATCCTGGGTCACACTGAGTATAGGGAGTATTCACTGGCGGCCATAGCTGTGTGCGCGAATGCTGAGCGCGTGCTGATGGCGAGCTTCCACAGTTCTTTTGCAACCTGCGTTCCTCACCACCAAGAGTGCCGGTCTTAGCGGCCTAATGATGTGAGCTCGTTCTGAGCATGCGCTCTAAACAGCACCCACAAATATGGCGTCCAGTGAACACTTCCTATACATTGTGCAAAAACCGTCTTCAGAGATCGGTCACCGTGATATCCGTGGTTCGAATAAAGCGCGCGAAGTTTTCTCCTCTATTTCGTTGTCACGCGGCATTCGAAGCACAAATCTCGTGGCGACTGGCGTTCGAATCCGTTTGCAGACTGTCTTTTGTATGTTAGCAGTGCGACTCCGCCTTTATTAATTATGCGGGCACGCGTAATTATATGCGTGCCCGCATATAATTATCTTTTCTGCAAACCCGCGTTTTTTTTTTTCACGATGTGTAAACAGCTAGTGCGACGGCTTAATGAACACTTCTCGCAAAGCCAGTAGTTTTGATTACGACCTTTTGGTTCCGAGAGGTAAGCAGAAAGAACCGGCGGTCGCTTGTTCGCGCTAACAGTGTCCGCTGTGTATGTGTACGTACGTATATACGTCAGAGAGCGAGCAATAAACATTAGAACGAACAGTAATAAAATCTGCTTGGTCGCAGTCTGTATGCGTTACTCACGGAAATATGCAGTGTGCCGCAGTGATGACATACTGTCTGTTTATGAGGGAGCCCCCGCAGAAGTGGGTGCTTGTTGTGTTCGGAGGAGTGAAGAGTCGGAGGGAGACCATCCAGGGAAACTCGAGTGGCTGGGTGTTCTCGCCTCCCACGATCCGGACAGTTCCGCCGGATGGGTTGGTGGTGCCACGGACTCCGCACGCTTAACACCGAGAAAAAAGAACGACAACAAAATGTTTTTATATTAGACACATGAATATACGTTTTTGCCTCCTTTTTTTTCCCCCTTCAGCTTTGATACACGTGTCCCACGTTGAAGTTAAAAAAAAATGTGTAGCACTTAGAGGTAACACCGAGACAGTATTGCGTGTGAATATAAAATACCTTGACGTCCGCTTGAAGAAGATAGCGTATTGGGAGAAAAGTGGTGGACACGGAAATTGAACATTGAAATTTGCAACCTGAGAACTTTAAAATGTATGCAGTTACATAAGTATTTCTTTCCTTTTTTAATAACAAGAGAACTACGTTCGTTTTAATTTTGTTCCTGTGCTTCTGTCGCGCTTTTAACGCCACCACGTTGTTTTGAAAGTCGTTAAAAACATATTTTGTCATATTTCGTGTCCAAATTCTCCTTAGGCACACATTTGATCACCTCTGAAGTATGCTGATAACGGTCGTTATAAACATCATGTTACATGTAGTAGAATAAATAAATGGGCGACCATGTTTGTTGGAAATATGAGCCGCGAACTAAGAAAGGGGTTCTGCACTTCAATTCTGCGCAATCCAAACTTCTTAAAAGGGGAACAGCATCCTGCCTAATGAGAGCCTCGCTGACAAAATCATGCCGCCATGTCGCGGATGAAGGCTTCCTCACGCAGGTGAATCGTCTAAAACGCGGAGGTTACCCTGATCGCTTCTTGGGGCAAGTAGCTGATAAGCTTCTTTCCAAGATGAAGAAAAAAAAGTGACGGCCATATTCCTTCCAGACAACTAACAAGTCCGGCGGTGATTGCCTACATTCATAATCTATCTCATAATCTAAAAAAAGTGGCGGCTCATCTTGAAGTGCCAGTGTGTTGTCGGCGCCACACAAGCTGTCTCATTTATGTTCAAAAAAAAAAAAAACGAAAAGGAAGAGGGTAAAGTGTGTCGAAAGAAACACGCTAAGCAATACGTGAGTGTGCAACGTCAGTGGTATATATAACATACCAATGAGTTGCGGGAAATCGTATGTGGGCCAAACGGGGCGTTGAATAAATGAGAGGGCCAGGGAACATGCCTGGTCAGTGAAACAGTCCCCGTCGGGCAATCTTGCGGTGCACTGTGATAGGTGCCCATGTGGCCCGGAATAGGAAAAAACAACAGTTCTGGGCAGATATGCAAACAAAACAGCGCGAGAAACACATGAGGCATTCCGCATAAGAGAGTAAGGGGAGAGTGTGTATTAGTGCGCCGTCACTGCACTTAACAGATAGTTTTTCTTTTTCAGCCAACACCCAGATAGACGGTATTAATAGTCAATGTTTGTTTCAATAAACCTTCAGTTGAGAGTGCGCTTCGTCTCTGACCCTTTCTTCGTCCTTGTGTATTCGGCGCTTTCCATTCAGCCATGTTACATGCCTTGCCTCAAGGAAAACAACACGAGAGCGACGAATTTTTAAGGGCTGTCCCCTATAACTTTGCACGGTAATAATTGCACGGGCTTTTTCTTCCAAACACATTCTCGATGTTTGCGATATGGACCGCCGAAAGGAAATTGTTCGTCCTCCCGTCGATGCTGCAGGCACACACGAAGCACCAATAATCGCATTCTACAAAACAGTTAAGGACAATGACAATGCCCACTTACCGGGTTTGGACATGCTCGCCGTTGCTACAGCGCCGAAGACGAGGAGTAGACTTGGAAAAATCACCATAGCGAACTTTTATACAGCTAGGGAAATTTTCCACAAAAAGATCGAACCTTCAGAGTCCCTTTCGATGGCTAAAACCGGATTAAAGTCAGGTGACACGCGACGAAGTGGCAACAAAATCGTAGCTTAACCGACTACCCTCTTTCCTCGTACACAAGCAGCTGTGTCACAACGATTCTATGATCAGCGCGTCCTTTCACATAACCACTTCAGGGAATTATGAACGAGCTCACAACGGAAGTAGTTTTTCGCACGTCGCGCCGTCGATTCAGGCAGGTGCGAACGCGAGCGCAGAGGTCTTCCTTCCCGAACGCGTCGTTCGCGTTTCCGAACCAGACATCGAGGCGCAGCTGAACCCGAGTAGGAGTGCAGTCTGACGGGCGCTCCCAGCCTCGACGACCGGAGACGGGGAATAGTACTGTCGCAAAAATGATAAAGGGGTGAACAAGAGCGTAGCTTTGAATGCCTCAAGCGTTATCTACAACGGGCGGGAAATTGCGAGCAGGCATGCCGCGCGCGTGCGGCATTGCGGCGGTTGTTTTATTATTTTGGTTTTTGTCGTCAGTTCCTGGTCGGCTGGGAAAACCGTTGCCGAGTCAACGCTGATTTTAGACGCTGCCGCTCCGCTCTGAAATGCGGCTGCGAGCGCGGCTTGGAACAATCAAATCGGCTGTACTCACGTATTTAACGACTGGACGATTAGTGATAACGTGGGGGATGATAAGCTTGACCCTGCCGCTTTTGTTGTGGTCGGGCGTTGTACCGGCGTGCTGTCGCGTTATCACTGTAGCTTGACGCACACTTTGTGACACTGTTGGCGCGAACGAGGGATCGTCGGGATTTTATAGTTTTTTTCCTCTCTGAAAACTAAAGTACTGGTTTGGTGAAAAATGTTATTTCGGGGCACTCACTTAAGCGGTAAAATTAGGTGCTGTTCAATACCCGGCTTGAGTGAATTGAGATCTAGTGCCGACGTCGTGTTCGCGCCAGCTGTGTTGCGTATACGTTAAAAGCCGCAGGTTGAAAGCCGTGATGCACCAACGAAATTCTCACCCTACACTTTTGTAAATGTCGTCACAACCCGAGGGCTCTCTATCCGCTTACATTACAAATGATCACAATGTTTGCACTGTTTCTCTCCGTCGCTTCTCATGCCCCTACATTCGAAGGAGAGAAACACTGAACGCACGTGTGCCGTCGCGCACTGTACCAGACATGAAACCGCGTGTTGTGAGGATTGCGCTTACCTAAAACTGAAATCCGCCTAGACATGATTTTATGATTTCACATATATTCTTTGAGCTATTTTTAGTTATCACTACTCCCACAATAATAACCACTAAAACCCTTACTCATATTTTTTTTTTTTGCGTTAAGGTAATTTTTGGACTTCTATTTGGCCGCACAAATAGCTTCAACTACTGGCCTCTCGCTCTGTCTAATATTAATTAAAGCTATTTTTTTCTTTTTAGTTATTTTGACCCTGAACGCGACCAATCTTATTTCGCTGCAAATCTTTGCGTTTGACCCGGGACTATAAATATATGTAATCGCAAATCTACAGATGAACGAACCGTACTTGATCGAATGAATCAACGTTTTACGAAACCGCCGAAAGCCAAAATATACGGCGGAGCCAGGTTTTGAACTCTGGCCCCCCCAATGTCGGTTGGACCATCTGCATATTCTCGAGTATTTTCCCTTGGAGACCACGCACTATTTTATTTTATTATTTTTTTTATTGATACTACCGGCCGCCGTGGTGCAGCCAAGGTAGGAAAGATACATTGATCAATGTTTACGATAAAGTAAGCACAAAATATAATAGCGCAGCAAAAAACAACACATCACTGACATAATTACGAACACATGCCTCATGCAGAGTACAAATATGATGATGAAATGTGCCCGTGATATATATATGTATATATGTACGGTCCCCGCTCGAAACGTCATAATAAACTTCGTATTAATAACTCTGACAGTAGGCATCTTTGACTTATTAACTTTTCCCGGTCCATTGTTTCACACACACACACACACACACACACACACACACACACACACACACACACACACACACACACACACACACACACACACACACACACACACACACACACACACACACACACACACACACACACACATACACATGCACACGCACACGCACACATATTATGTTTACATTTTACCCCATCCTTGTTTATATGTCTCAATAATTTCGGCTAAAAGAAAACGATTTTCGCCTTTTTGTTATATTCACTTTGATACAATAACTTTACATTCTAATCCTGTATAGCCCGTTTCTAAATAATTTGTTAGTGATCAATCTTCGTTCTATTGAATAGGCTGTCATTTAAAGCAGTTTTTTCCTTGCCATATTTCCTGCCCCCCCCCCCCCCCCCCCCCTCTTTCGCTCCTTCATGTTATGCGTTCTGTGGGAATGTTTTATTAAGGCTATAAACTTGTGCTTGTCCTCCTTTGTTGTCTCCGCCTCGGGTTTTAGCGTGCCGATTAACAACCAGCTCGCCTGCCTAGTAACGTTCTCTTGCACTTTAAATGTCCAACACTAGAGGATCTCTCACGCCTCAATTCTGTCTTCCTTCCGTTAATTAACACCGACCTCACCCCCCCCCCCCCCTCTTTTTCTCAACAGATTGCCGAATATGACCTCATCTAAGCGACAAACTATACTTTTATATTCCACTTTTTTCCTCCACTAATGCCACTACCGCGGGATTGCGTTTGAGAGCCGGATGTCCTGACGAGCACGTGTGCTCAAGTTTTTATTTTTGTTGCAACACCCATTAACCGGCGTCCCGTTGTAAATTCTCGAAACACCCCTAAAAATATATAACTACAAAAAAAAAAAAAAGACGCATTCAATTGAAATTGAGTTTATGAACGAAACGCCAATAAAACAGAAAATGTTTTTTTTTAAACGTCTTTTGTTAAACAAGCTCTCGCTCTTCGAATTCGCAAATAAAAACACGCGTACACACACACACATGCACAAACAAGTAAGCAAAAAGAAAAACAACCAGATAAAACCCGGAAATCTTGAAACAGGCGTTTGCGAGACTGCCATCGCGTTCGACCAGGAAATCGCATATTCACCTTTTTGTTGGGATCTATATTTTTTTTTCCCTCTATAGATTAAAAAAAAATATACATTCCAGCTGCTCCAACTACGTTATGCGCGGATATGGCCTGCGCACGACGTCGTCGTTAGTGGGCCCCCGATCGTTCCCTAAAGCGGCAAACACGTCGAAGCTGACCACACTCTCAGAAAAAAAGGTGTATTATTACACCCCTCGTCCCATATAATGCACCCCAAAACTTCAATTCGACCGTACAGAGCCCTATAGTCGAACAGACAGCCCCAAATTTTACGAGGGGCTTGATAGCCTTGCGGTACAACTTATTAAAATAGCTAATTACTGACTACAAAAAACATTATCGGAGTTTTCTTGGCCCTACTGCAAAAACTCAGTGTTTTCTTTATGTGGTCTTTGATACGTACTTTAGCTAATCAAAACGTTACATGGCACCGTTATCAAGCCCCTTGTAAAGTTCGGGGCCGTCTGTTCGACTATAGGACTCTGTACGTCGAAATAAAGTTTTGGGGTGTATTATATGAAACAAAAGGTGTAACGATACACCTTTTTACACCCTTTTTTCTTGAGAGTGCAGAGAGTCGCCGCAAAGCGGCAGATGCGTCCGTTTGCACTTGCCAATCCGAGGCCGGATCCGCCTATCGGCAGCGAGTGTATCTTCGCTCCGGGTGGCGTTCTCCGCTCGTCGCCGGAGGATTTTTCGGAACGGTCGTTTTTACAGCGGAGTTTCCCCAGGATCGTGTCCGGTACCAAACAAATGTGGACATAGCACTCTGTTTGCCGCCGTCGCTCATAGATGGCGGTAGCTGCCCAGAGTGTTGTGTTTGCCGGTTGTCTGCTTGCCGCCATTGCTCATAGATCGTGGCAACCTTTCCGGCCTCGGCAACCAGACAACTGGCTGCTGCCGTCGCTCATAGACGGCGGCAACATTTCTTCGAAGGGAGAAGAGCAAGAAAGAAACGAGCGGCGATGTGCGCAGCAGCGTGAATGGTTCCGGAACAGCCGCGAGGCCGCTATCGCCTAAAGTTCCACTGCGTCCGAGGACTTCAGATTTGATCCTTTGCGGAAGAAGAGCAGATCGCTCGCCTGGAAAGCCACCGCTGAAAACAGAACCTACAGCTCCTCTGCTCTTCCGTCTTCACCAGAGTGGAAATGCTGGAAGTTTTTTTACCTGACGCGAAGCAATCGGCGTTTACCGGAAGTTTCGTTGCCCGGTGCGTTCTTCAGGTCTGTCTTGTTTGTTTGTAGCAGTGGGGTCGCTCTGGGCTCGATAGACAGTCACCTGCCAGAACGAGAAGGCGTGCATGCGCACAGCGTTTTCGCGACATGGACAAATCACCGCCTTCGACGGCACCACTGCTTCTTTGGTGTGCGCTGCGTCTCCTGCTACGCAACAAGTAGAGGGCGCACGGCAAATGAATGCCCGTGTGATTGAGAAGTTTTAAGCGTGATCGCGTAGCTAACATGATCGCCCTGTCTACGTTTCGATCCCCGTCGCCTTTTTGAGAACAATCTGCTCGAGTAGTAAAACGTACGTACATACCTTATCGACAAAAGGTAATCTGTGTAGCGTTCATTTGAGTTCTGTATAAAAGTGAACAGCATCACTTTGTGACGAGCGGCTGCGTCCGACAGACTGTAGTCCGACACCATTCAAACCACGACCGGCTTGAAGGAAACACACGCTCTTCGAACACCACAGCCCTCTACTACGCAAGAAATAACGCTGGAAAGATGAGAGAGCGAAAAGAAACCTGCGAATCCCCAGAACGAGGTCAACTATTCGTGCGAAAAGAGTCCACTGGAAACACAGGGCCGTACGCTCGTTGTGGTTGTGCGGGGCGAAGCGCCGTCGACGACGCTGCACGGCTGATTCCTTGGTTTGCGCTGCATGTCCTGCCAGATATCAAGTACGAGACACCGAGTCGTCGTAGTCTCGTCTTATTTTCGGTAGAACTTGTCCATCTTCGCGCGGTTCTTCCTGTGGGGCGAAACAAACTCGGAGGGTGCACCATCCAGCGTCAAACAACGTGAATAAAACCTATTCGTGTATTCATACTGGACGTACTCCGAGCGAGTCTGAGATCTTGCCCAGAGTGGCCGACAGCAGCAGACGACAAGAAATCTCGCGCCTTCTCGTCGCAGACGCTACGTTCGAAGAGCAAACGAGAAAACGGTCGCCACTGACAGAGATAGATGTAAACCAAGGATACTAGATTACCTCAGTTGTGGAACTCCCGCGGAAAGGGGTGCCCCCCCCCCCCCCCCCCTCACTCACTTTAGTCCGCCTCCCATCGTTCGAAGCGCCATCTAGATTTTTGTTTACAAACTGTGTGTTCCATAGAGTACGGT